TACCAGAAAATTCGTGTTTTATCAAAGGAAATTTGGCAACGCCTGAAGGTTCATACGGCGTTTTTCCTTGGCACGGCAGAATATTGGGTAGCATCCTAGTGCGGAAGGGCTGGTTGGAATGACTGCTCTGCCCACGAAATCTTCACATGTGCCGTAATAACGTTTCTGAAGCGATAGGCTTGTAAAAACGCGAATGAATTACGCACATTAAGAAGTCAGGATCGGCATCAGTCTCTACCGATGCGCGCATCGTGATTTTGGAGCCATTATTTTGTAACATAAATAACTTCCTGCTGTAGGATCTGTGTTCCAAAATACTGTAGACCTACAGCAGGGCTGTAAGATTTTCCTATGGGTTCTATAGCCTGGTAGGTATTATCTACTTACGGTATTTTGGAACGCAGCGCCTATTGCCAGTTTTTACCAAGGCTCCGATGCAGCAAATAATGGAGATGTAGCATGTGTGAGGAATTTGCGATTTGACTGTTGATTCTTATGTAAAAGTTCGCGAGAAACACGATGGTGCCACTGGTTTTCTCTGAAATCAACTCCCAAGCTCAAAAAAGCTCTTAAGTTGAGGCCAAAATGGAGGGGATATCCCACCCCGCCCTGAGAGTCCACATCTACATCAAGACAAATTCTCCATGCAAGATAGGGAGCAAAATACATTGGCAGGGTTGCCACTTTATTTGGGGACTCCACAACTAAAAACACGGCAACCCTGCTAATGTATTTGCTCCCTATCTTTGCATGGACAGTTCGTCTTGATGTAGAGGTGGACTCTTAGGATAGCGTGGGATATCCCCTCCATTTTGGCCTCAACTTGAGAGCTTTTTTTGAGCTCGGGAGTTGATATCAGAGAAAACCAGTGGCACCATCGTGTTTCTCGCGAATTTTTACATAAGAATCAGTAGTCAAATTGCAAGTTCCTCACACATGCAACATCTCCATTGCGTTCTCAACTTTAAAAGCTTTGTCGCGGTTGTAAGTTTATTTTAAGATCGACAAAAAAACGACCTGCTGTTCGGAAAATTTTGCGAAGAACTCAAGTCGTACGGGAGCTTATAATCCCAGCTGCATACAAATGCGAGACCTTGTGATCGGAAAAACTCGAGATTTGGCAATTGAGTTGGCGTGGGTTCGGATGAATATCCGATGGATTCCGTGTCATTTCCTACGCGTTCGCGTTCCCTCAATTGCCCGCAGGGAAAGACTCCAGTCATGTTTTATATCATCATAATTTTCGCAAGGGCGTCGCGTCGGGACACAGAAGCGCTGCCGAGATTCAACGGCTTCAAACTCACTCTTCGCGAAGAGGAGGAGGGGATTGTACTTTGTAGTTTTATCCAGCTTAATAGGGGGCAAATCCAATTTGCAACCGCAAAGGTTATGTTGATGAAAATTATTATTTGGGTCGAAGGTTGGAAGTTGAAAGATGCGTTTTTGAGGATGGAGAATAACGTAATTGAGATGTTGCATGTGTGAGGAATTTGCGATTTGACTGTTGATTCTTACGTAAAAGTTTGCGAGAAACAAGATGGTGCCACTGATTTTCTCTGGAATCATCGCCCAAGCTCATAAAAAGCTCTCAAGTTGAGGCCAAAATGGAGGGGATATGCCACGCTATCCCGAGAGTCCACTTCTACATCAAGACCAACGCTCCATGCAAAAAAGATATAAAAAATGATTTAAATCAAATTAAATTATCCAAATATGAAATAAAACAAGTTACCTAAGGGATAACAGCGCAAAATTTTTGAGAAGTTCTCATTTACAAAATAAATTGCGACCTCGATGTTGGATTAAGAACGTAAATAGGGAGTACGTGCCAAATAGGGAGAAACTACATTGACAGGGCTGCCACTTTATTTAGGGACTCCAAAACTGAGAACACGGCATCACTGCTAAAGTATTTGCTCCCTATCTTTGCATGGAGAGTTTGTCTTGATGTAGAGGTGGACTCTCAGGATAGCGTGGGATATCCCCTCCATTTTGGTCTGAACTTGAGAGAACTTTAACGTAAGTTCGACGGTAATCGGCGGTGTAAGTTGGCGATCACATAACTCGTTTGCGGTTTCTGATAATCTCCGCCGCAATGTTATTTTTTGAAAAGGGAACAAATTGACATCATTCCTTGAAGATTTTGCAGAATTTTCTTCGCATAAAGAAGGAAAATCCAGGCAGTTTTGAAGAGTTACCGTTGAGTAGTTTTCGGTGTAAAAAATAAAGTATGGCAGGAAGTCTGCGACGTCGCAAACCGATGTGATTGCCGAATTACACCGTCGACATGCAACATCTCCATTACATCTTCCATGCGTTGATGAAAACCACGGTACTTCCTCACGATTAGCGCGCGGAAGTGCGTCAGCCATGTTGAATATTACGTAGCGTCCTGGTGCATAAGGATTGGATGGAACGACTACCATCAAGAAATATTCACCTGTGCCGTTATTAAAGCAGGAAGCTTAAGAAAACGCATATTTCTTTTGCAAATTGTGAAGTTAAGAAAGTAAATCAGACTTCAGACTCCGATCCGCTCATTGTGATTTTGAGCCACTTTTTACAAGAAACAACTTTTCTTTTTGCAGTGTTGAAGTGTGCATCACGCCCATTGGGCTACATTTTTCCGAAAGGAACAACACGGAAAAAATGAAATTGCTGATTTAACAATTTTGTGGTTTAAAAAGTGTCCGGCATGTTTCAGAAGTGCATTGCACAATAGTGGAAAGGTACTTTATCTACGAGGGTGGTTAAATTAGCATTTTGTTATTGTAAAATCTACATTCAAACTATGTAATCATTAAATCCGTGATTCATTTTTTTTCCGTGCGTGTGGTTGATATTTTTGAATTAATTTTTCCGTAGATTAAACTGACTAAATCTTTGGGTTGAAAATTTGCAACCTCGTCAGAGGTCAAGCTCAAGCCACTCGGGTAGAACCTGAGTCGCAAAAGTGGCAGTGCCACACGCAAGTTGCGACTTTGAGAGACATAGACAAAAACAATTATGCATTAGTTGAGAAAAACACAACCTTCATCCTCATGTGTGTCAGAGTAGCCTACGGTTCAGTCTATGAAGGTGATTCGACAGTTGCCATTTTTGTGTCAGAGCGACGTGCGATACACATCGCATCAATTCGTCCAATAATTTCAGCTACTTTTAATTTTTTAGAATTTTGAGATCGCACTTCTGTTGTCATGAGACTGAAAAATGCATGTACCAAATTTGACAAAGAATTTCAACGCAATATAGGCAGGGTTTTACAGAGGAAAAATATAGCATTCGATACTGATATCGAAATTGCACTCGAATACGATATTCTTCCTCTGTAAAACCCTGCGTTTAATACGTTGAATTTCTTGGTCAAATTTGGTACATGAATTCTTCAGTCTTATGACAATAGAAGCGCGATCTCAAAATTCGAAAAAAATTAAAATTAACTGGCATTATGGAAAGAATTGATGCGATATATCGCACGTCACTATGACACAAAAAATGGCGTCCATCGAATCAGCTCTAAGAGCGCACTGCGCTCCGTAGCGAACGCGCAGTGCGTGAAGTATTCATACGATCTTGTAGGCGCTTCACGGCTCGCGCCAAATGCATGATGTTTGGCGCAATGCGTGAAGTATTCATCCAATCTTGAAGGGGCCAATATGCGTGTCGCGCTGACCGCGCTGTGTTCGGCGCGATTAGGACGTATCTGCCATTAGTTTCTCTGTGCAGGTGGATTAGAGATGACTAGAATTGAAAATGAATCAGTGAGTTCGAAATCACACCAACTCGGGTTTTTTTCGATTTTCACTTTTTCACGGTTTAGTAACACATATGGATAGAAGCATCTGCACGCAAAAAGAGATTTCGATATTGCCATCAGAAGTGCTCGAAATAGCGACGTGAAAAAGGAAAAATTTAAGTATTTTTTTGGAAATACCAATTTTTGGCCATTTCAAGGAAAAAGATGACCATCTGATTTTGCTTTTTTCGGTTCAGTATACTTTGTACCAACAAGTAATATAAATATTCAAGCGTTATTCAGGTCGAAAAATATAAATTTTTCAGGGCAGTCTATGATCAGTATCTGAAAGTCGGTGATAACGAAAACACACCAACTCGGAAATTTTTAAACGCTTAATTCTCTGTCATCAAACATGGTGTGTCGATTTCAAATTGGTGCTTTAGAAAGTCTCTACGTACTTGTCCCCTGGCTCCAAAAAGGTTTTTCTTAAACTATAACTTCTTCACCCGCTGCGCAGTTTTAGGCGTTTCCTGAATAATTTTGTTTTCCGAGTTGGTGTGTTTTCGAACTCACTGATTCAATTAATCCACGACGATGATGCTGATAATGGACCACTAGACAAGGTACGAATTTAAGCAATCTGATACATGTTTCTTAACCAGAATTTCATGTAGAACACGATTCGCGCAACGAAACCAGCTCCTGATGAAGATAGTAACCTTTTTATTTCACATTGGTTACGCGGATTTTGAACTGCCCGCTCACAAGAAACTCAAAGCTCTACGTGAGTCAAATCGCGCACCACAACAGTTTCAGCTATAGCCTCTCAATCGATCACTGTTCATAACCCACCATGTGTTGTTCAAATTATAAGCAATTTGCTTTAACTGAGCCCAAGCGTCGAAATTGAGGTTGCCAGATTTTTATATCGCAAGAGACTGTCATGATATCGTTTAGCGCGCGAAGTGAATCACGCAGAGCATTGAGTTTTAATGAGCGGGTGATTTGAATTCACGCATCAAGAATCATTAAATATCTTCGTACGGAGTTGATTTCGGTAATTTTTGTTGTGCGTATCGTATTCTACGTAAAATTTTGGTTAAGAAACATGCGTCAGAATGCTGAAATTCGTACCTTGCCTAGTGGTCCATTGTGTATTTTTAGCCTTGCTTCCCGTTTTTTCATCCTCGTTTTTCCACTGTTATCATTGTCTTGGGCTGCTCTTAAAAATGTGTATTCATGTGGTTTTCGGGTGTTTCAGATGTTATGAGCGGCGATGGCTCTGCTGTACCGGTTCGTGAAGCTCTCGGACCGCGCGCACTCGCACGTGTTCACGTTCGTGGTGACCAAGTCGGTGACGCGGGACCTGGAGCGTGACGTGACGTCGAAGGAGTTCTCGTGCGGGCACCAGAAGTGGGCCATCACCTTCTCGCGGACGGACAAGGTCCTCGGCGTCTACCTCGTCTGGCGCTCCGCCTCCGAGAGCGTCCGCGTCTACGTCGACTTCACCTTCACCCTCCTCAACCGCGAGCACTTCAGCGTCAACGAGGCCTTCTCCGGCAAGCAGGTAAGCCGTCAATACCAAACTCGAGTTTTCATTCCACGCTTCTCCTTGGACAAATGGATTGCATTTCGCAGAAAGAAACCAAGAGCATTCCAATGTTGCTAGGATTTTGTCTCTTATTTTCATTCAATAAAATTACTGAAATCATGCAAAAAATTAAATTTACCAAGGTAACTTTCGTTCACCCTCACCCTCCTCAACCGCGAGCACTTCAGAGTCAACGAGGCCTTCTCCGGCAAACAGGTGAGCCATCAATACCAAAGTCGAGTTTTCATTCCACGTATCTCCTTCACTGGGGAAAAAACACATTGGATCCAGAGTCCAGACTCTTGAAAACATCGACAAGAAAAAATACTCTTGATTCAATCGGATTTTTGCTCGCATCAAAACGAAGTCCTCTTAAATGGAGATGTTGCATGTGTGAGGGATTTGCGATTCGACCATTCATTCTTGTGTAAAAGTTGGCGTGAAACACGATGGTGCCACTGGTTTTCTCTGAAATCATCTCCCAAGCTCTAAAAAAGCTCTCAAAGTGAGGCCAAAATTGAGGAGATATCCCACCCTACCCTGAGACTCCACCTCTCCATCAAAACAAACTCTCCATGCAAAGGTAGGGAGCAAATAAATTAGCAGGGCTGCCACTTTATTTAGGAACTCTAAAACTGAAAACACGGCATCACTGCTAATGTATTTGCTCCCTATCTTTGCATGGAGAGTTTGTTTTGATGGAGAGGTGGAGTCTCAGGGTAGGGTGGGATATCCTTTCCATTTTGGCCTCACTTTGAGAGCTGTTTTTGAGCTTGGGAGACGATTTCAGAGAAAACTAGTGGCACCATTGTTTTTCCCGTGAACTTTTACATAAGAATCAACAGTCAAATTGCAAATTCCTCACACATGCAACATCTCCATTAAGAGGCTTGGTTCTTGATTTAAGCTAGATTCTGATCGAATCAAGAGTACTTTTTCTTGTCGGTGTTTTCAAGAGTCTGGACTCTAGATCCAATGTGTTTTTTTTTTCCAGTGTTGGACAAATGAAGGGGCTGTCCAAAAAGTACGCGGACTCGTTTCGTCGCACACGGAGGCAAAAACTTGGTGCATGGGACCTGAAGTTGAGGTCATATGGATCTCTGAAGTTTTCTCATCACGCATCCGAAAACTTGAGGTCGAGCTGCCCAAGTTCGGGTCAGACATCGAGGCACTTCGCTATGTACCGGAGCACTTCAGATGTCTGATCCGAACCCTTCGGTACATATCGAAGTACTTTAAAAATTCTAAATAATTTTCCTCCAATCTTCCAGACAATTTTGTTCACGATTTAACGAGTATCTAAAACATCAGGACATGTTGAGGGATCATGTGCCCAACTTTTCACAAAAATGAAAATTTGATAGAAGAAAATTTAGCAACCCTCGAATGTTCATACAGCGTTTTTTCTTGGCGTGACGATATGGTGGAAGAGTGGTAATTTTGGACAGAAGCCAGTGGCGTGGCGTGCTTTGCGATGTATCTATTGTTATGCCATTTGAACCTATGGTAAAGAATCGATTATTAAGCAGTGGCGTGGCGTGAATTGCGATATATCGATTGTTATGCCATTTAAACCTATGGGAAAAGATCGATAAATAGGGTGTTCGCAGCGAACACCTTAATAATCGATTCTTTACCATAGGTTTAATGGCATAACAATCGATATATCGCAATTCACGCCACGCCACTGTTATTAAGGTGTTCGCTGCGAACACCCTATTGATCGATCCTTTTCCATAGGTTTATATGGCAGATCGTTCGATACATCGCAAAATACGCCACGCCACTGCTCCCCAGAAATGCTATGCCCAAAGGAATTTCCTCAAGAAGCGTCAAGGAGGTATTGTTTACCTTGGAGTAGAATATGTGTGTTTAGGCGGGAAACAGAATTTATTGAAGGTGATGACACCAATTGTAAGAATCATATTTGCTGAATTGTAGCGGGGAGCTCTGTACAGCGGGGGAGGGGTGTCAACCTTTGATAGTGGCACAAAAGTAGCACGTTTCCTCGAAAATTACGTTACGTGTCTTGTTTGCGACACGGAATGCCCTTTCGTCTCTCATCGGGGACAACCGTAACACAGTGGCGTGGCGTGCTTCGCGATTTATCTGTTGATCTGTCATTGAATCTTATGGAAAAGGATCGATAAACAAGATGTTCGCAACGAACATCTTAATAATCGATTCTTTATCATATCTTTAATTAAAGAAATTTCGATAATCGCCCCTTCACGCTTCGCCGCTTTTGTATAGCTACGCTATCATTCCGATGTTGAAAAATTACGCTGTTAAAAATCGAGGATCGAAATTTGATACCGAAATCTATATACCGCCCAAAAACGAAATGAATCGGCCCGAGTGATATCAATGCGGAGAAAAATTAGCACCATTAAAGTGTCTGCAACACCACTAAAAGTGTGGATTCCGCTCCGTAATCAGGGGCGGATCCAGCAATTTGGCAACACAGGATTTCCTCCATTTCAACCTATGTTAAATAATCGATTCTCGTCGGAGCACGTGGCCTCTTCAAGAATCGATACATTTCCATAGGTTTAAATGGAGAGAAGACAATGTTGCCAATTTCTGGATCCGTCAATGTCCGTAATAGTGTGAATCATTCTGTAAAAAGAATAGATTCCACTCCGCATACATATCACTCGGGGTTTTTGGGTGCTATACAGATTCTGGCACCGAATTTCACTTCAAAATTTTTAACAGTTTAGGCAGACGTTTGAACTTTTGAAAGAACAGCCACTCAAGATGTCTATACTTATCCGAAAATAATACTGATTTCATAAGGGCGGTCCAGAAAAAATATTGCCGGAATTTCGCAAAAAGGTCCTAATTTTTGTCCTTCATAATTTGCTTTTAATTTTTTCAATGGTGTTTTTTGTTCTCTTGCTAAAAACTAACAAAATTTTCTCTTTGTCAGTTTCGGTACATATTATTAACTAAATGAAGAAAAGTTTCAGAAAATTTCAAGAGAACATTTTCGATTGGTTTTCTTTGAAGAATGGGACAGCAGCAAAAACATGATAACATCACGATCGTTAGTAGACATGTTTTCACTTCAAACAGGTGAAAGTTATTTCAAAGTGATCAAACATATACTATTTTGCAGACATCGACAGTGAAGCTAAAAAGGAGTTATTTGTAAGGAGGCAATTACGTTGGCAACACCAACTTTGTTTTCATTTTTATTTTTTAGAAATCAGTCTTTTTAGGAACAAGTCACGGCACCGAGATATGGTTGAGGATAAATTATAATTTGAACAGGAAAAACTAGAAAAGAATTTATTCCAAGAGCGCTTGTGTCGTGAACTCGCGTCATTAATCATAATTAAGATGGGAAATTTATGCTCCCCGCCGCAGCATGAGAAATTAAAAAATAAAGACAGGGCGTAAACAGCTGAAATGAGGAGAGAGAAAGAGAAACCCATGGTTGCCAGTCTCAACCGTAACTGGGTTTTTGCATTGAAAATACCCCGGTAAGTTTAAAAACGATACCCGATTAATTCTCTCCTGTCTTCGACTGTGTTGCTCGAGTGGCTCTTGAAGCACCGCCACAAATTGGACTTGCGGAACCAACTCGACATGGAAATAGAGCAAGGAAAAGAACGTACGTTAATGACGGCGCAGAGATACAACTATACGTGCTTGATGGACGTGCGCGTTGCATCCTGTAAAATTGAAGGCGCGATAGCGTGAGGCGTGAACTCATGGTCAGTGCACCCTGCACCCATTCCATGTCCGTCAAAATCTCCGGGAATCAGAATCTTTTTTGTCTAATTTCTCCCACTCCATGACCTTCAAAAGTTCCGTGATTCTTTTTAGATTCTCTGAGAAGTTCCGAGAAAGTTCAGAAAAATGCAAAAAAAAGATTCAGAACATTTCGAAAATTTGAAAATGTATTTCTCGTGTGTCAAAAACGCAACCACGAAAACATGCAGATGATAGCACTCGCGGCTATCTTACGGAGCAATGAAAATGAAAAATAACCTTTTTTGTAATTGAAATCAAATTGGTCGATTTTTAATAACCCAAACGATTTCTAAAAGTCTTTCGGACAATTAGTGGCAATTGGACCGCGTTAAACAGAAAGGAACCAAGCCACATCAGCTACTGCCAAATGTAAGAGGGCAATTTAATTTTTTACATGAAAATGGTTGTGCGGATTTTCGTGCAAATTTCAGTGAAAATTCTCCTTGGTGCGACGCAAATTCTTTAAAATGTTCAGAGATATCCGAACAAATGTTCTCTCGTAAAAAATTTAATTGCCCAGTTAAACTTGCCAATAGTTGATGTGGCTTACAATTAGTTCCTTTTTATGTTAAACTCGGTCCAAGTGGACAAAGAATAAAGACTTTTATCACTAAAATGTTCCGGTCAGATGCTTCTGCGCCCGTTTTCTCAAAACTTCATTTTTTGTACCTACTGCTCTCTTCGCTATCATGGCAGTGCTCATCTGGTACTTTAAGAATATTGACTAAAAAACACAAGGTTTAGTGACCCACTGTCTGAACGCTAAAATTGATCGTGTTCTTCCTCTCATGGTCGGTGCATGACTAGTGGGGTTTAAGGGAATAAACGGAACGTGGAGATTCTACCCTATAGACCTGTCTCTGCCGGGGATGATGAATGTCTTTGACGAGTGGGTCCCTTAAGGTATAGCTCGTTAGCGTGTTATCACTTGTTAAATTTCACACTTACCCGCTCCCTCTTCTCTTCTAACCATCCCTTCTCGCCATCCCATGAAAGCATCTTAATCCTCTTCCCGTCTCATCAGTTAAGCTGTTTTGTGATCACGTAGTTTGCATCTCCAAGCAAACGGGTTAGTCCCTGTTGTTGTGGTGGTTTGAGATTAGCTTTGGCCGAATTTATGCTAAAAGGAAGTATGTGGGACTGTGGGAATGAATTGATCTTTAAAAATAAAGAGGCTTTGTATCACGCAGACTCGCCGTGCATACTCAGAAAAA